ATAATTAATTCTATATTTGAGCTTTTACATTGCAAATTAGTTGACCTTCTAAAGGCGTAAACGAGCAAGGTCTCGGTAATTAGATTTTATTGGCAATTTTAGTATCTTATAAGAATATTTGTTCTTGGAAATCATATGTTGTATGGTTTATTGAAACACAAAAATTTACATTATTGGATGTGGATCGTTTCAGCCAAATGACATCCACTGCTGGACAAAGGCCTCCCCCAAGGTTTTCCACTGTGAACGGTCCTGCGCTGCCCGCATCCAGGCTCTTCCCGCGACCTTTACCAGATCGTCGGTCCACCTAGTAGGAGGCCTGCCCACGCTACGTCTTCCAGCCCGTGGTCGCAACTCGAGAACTTTCCTGCCCCAACGGCCATCGTCTCTACGAGCTATGTCAATAAAATCTTAAAATATCTGATGTTTTTTGCGAATAAACATCTTCAGTACAAAAGACATCAACGCGTCACTTTCTCTTTATTTTTGATCTCGGAAATCTGTTTTGGAAATCGGGAATTCGAATCGAAATAAAAATAGAAAATTTAAAAAACCTTCTTATAATAAGCTTTTGTAAGCTAATGTCCTTTCTACAGATATTTGAAATTGTGGATGATTTAGATCAGGTCAGTAACTAAATATTTAAAAAAGTTAAGAAAGTTTAACTTGTTGAAAATGTTAATAAAAACACTTAAGTACTAACACTTAAAATAAAAGTAACGACTGTCTAATAATAACTAAAAGCCTAACGATAAGTGTTCATTAAAAGTGCATAACTTATGATAATTACTGACAAAATAAAAGCCTGCACATGTGATCGTAAAGAGAAATTATACAGTCAGACGCATTAATATGTAAACATGTCAGGCGCAGCTGTCTGTGCGCAGGAGTTTGCTTTTGTTTCGCTTATTTTGCTCATGAAAAAGCTAAGTCATGACTTATTTTGTAATTTAATAGAAGATATTTGCTCAGTCTTTTGATATAAAGTTAAGATTTTTTAAAGATAACTTAAAAAACAAGAGACAGGACACAAAATGTTAAAAATATTTGTGGAGAGTTTATATTTATGGTTGGATAAAAACTGTATACCATGTGTTGAGAGGCATCCTATAGTATTGATGATCAATATGAAATTGCGATACACGGTAGAGAGAGCTTTGACATAATGTAGATACATATTAAAGGTTGGAGTTTATAAATTTTTAGGGCACTGCAAATCTATACTAATATTCTATATTAATATTATAAATGCGAAAGTAGCTTTGTCTGTCTGTCTTGCTTTCACGACTAAACCACTGAATCGGTTTTGATGAAATTTGGCATAGAGATAGTTTGAGTCCCGGGAAAGGACACAGGATAGTTTATCTCGGTTTTTGAAACAGGGACGCGCGCGATAAGTTTTTCTGTGATAGACAAAATTCCACGCGGGCGAAGCCGCGAGCGGAAAGCTAGTATAAAAATTTAGAGAAGAGGTTTCTCTGAAGATTCATTGTTACAGTTTATTTATTACATATTTCGTGTGACCTACTTGTTTGTGTACATTGTTACCCAACCTCGTTTAGATGACTCACCCTATACGCTTCGGAATGGATCACAACAAGATGTGTCGTATGAATCAGTATTTACGACGGCTATGACTGGTTTAGCAGAAACTAACAAACAGAACTAGACGGCCTTTGTCCCCAAGGTCATTTTTTAACGTTATTTTTATCATCATTGATCTTTTCTTGCTACTTTACTCATAGGTTTCCGCTTGACACAAATTTAACGACAACTGTGTAAATACTAAATAATCCTTGGATTTGTCTTGGATTAGAGTTACCAGCAATAAATGTTCAATAACTTTCAATTATTAGAATACACGTAAATATCAGTCCGCGAGGAATGGCGCCGTATTACGAGGAACATCACTCATCGTGATTCACAATGATGACCACGACCACTCTGACAAGAGTGTACCAACTGAGAAGAAGAAGCAGAAATATAATTCGTTTCAAACTTTGACAAAGGTTTTAGCTATAAGTTAAAACGGTGCGATGTACTCTTACTAAATTAGTTGTTGATTTCAACTATCGTTATAGCCATATTTTCAATACCCAACTATGTCACTAAGGCCCGATAATCGACCAAAATTTTATCCGAGAATAACTCCTGGTATAAATGGCGAATTGACAGTTTCAGTATGGGAAATATGACAATTTCAGTATGGGAAATATGACTATTTATTCTGTTAATATTTACTCTTGTTTGGTCGAATCCACCCTAAATCGAATAATCACAACTAAATGCACAATAGACATCCATGACTCATAAACTAATCCTTATTTGTCATCAAAACACAAACGTTAACCCTTTCAGAGTTTAACCCCGCATTTCTCATCCTTTAGCTCAGTACTTTTGAACCTTTTTGCTATACAAATATGCAATAAAAAGTGCACAACTCACCATTATTCCTAGCCTGCGAGTTGCCCTGGGGACGGGCCCAGGCCAGCGCACAGAGCAGCAGCAACAACGCGCACGCACGCATCGTGACTCAGGCGCGGAATCAGGCGACACTGCGCGCGCGCAGACCACTGTCACTTGGTGGGACATTCTCACGTAGAATCATTTAGAAAGGTGATATTAAACTCGAAATAGATTTAATTTTTGTAAGCAGTTTAATCAATGGGACAGAATTAATTAATTTTTAAGTTCATTGTAAATTAATTGAAAGTAACTGTCCCATTGAGACTTATAAACTATTAATCAAAGTATCGACTGCATATGTGTATAAGACGTTATTTAATCAAACTTAATAAAACATTACAATAAGATGGTGTAGTTCTGAATGTGAAATTCACACTTCATTTATGCTTGTATTTTTTTAAATATACTGATTTCAAATAAGAGTATATATGTTACGGTTAATGTGATAAATTGAAAATTATTAATAATAACCGGTTATTATGAATAATTACCGACAGTCGCGGTAAAAGTGATAAATTAATCACACTTAACAGTGATTATTTGATAATTCAACCTTAGTACTAACAAATTTCATAAAAGAGAACAACATCTTGTGAATTCTTGTGTACGTGCTCGTGTACAGCCAAACTTTTGAACGTTTTGATATCATATATTAATATAATTTGGCATAATGAGTTTGGAATGTTTCTTGCATAATCCTACTTTTCCATGATACCTATAACATAAGGTTTTGATTTAAAGTGAAAAATAGGTTAAGGTGCGGCGGGGGTGGCCCTTGGGCCACCTCTAAGCCGCCTATTTAGTTTTATACACACATAAATGACCTCATATTAATCACATTTACCAAATCATGCGGTAATTATTCATAATAACCGGCGATTATTCATAATTTTCACATTTATCACTTTGACCGTAACATATACTTAGCTATAAACTCTGAAAAAAATAATTAATCATACTTTTATTACGAAAGCCAAATCTACCGAGTCTCTTTATTAATAAATATCCATTAAAAATAAGTCATAGGTTTCGAAGATTAAAACAGAATTACGCCTCAAAATTGCATAAGCTGTGCGAGGAGTGGGCGCGATTTCCAATGTGCACGTAAGCTCCGCACGCTCACAAGAGTTGCGGGCAGCGATTCAAGTTTATAAGCTATTGTAGATGTTATTCTTTTAAATTTATTTCTGTCATGACTGCAAAACGAAATGGTTTTTAATTAAAAATGCCTGCGTGCCCAAACAACTGAACGGAGGAAGATTTAATGAATGCTACAACGCCACTCTAGTAGCGGAGTTTTGGGCTGGCAGTGTTAAAGGTTTGTTGTCGACACGACAAAAAGAAAATAAAAATAAAGGTCTAAGAAACTCTACTATTGTGTAGACTTATGCGCCAAAACGTCTGGTTTGCTCATTATTTAGATTTTCAGTCGACTAAACTGGTAGTTGTTCTGCTAAGATTGTCTTGTTCAGTTTTCACTCAAAAATTAAAAAGTAACATTGTTTAAAACTTTGTAAATAACAGTGAAAACCGCTATCCGCTCGTCGTGAATCACAACCCTAAAGTGCATATTGCAAAATGTCATGAGTACCAGTCGCTAGTGATGTCATTTAGACTGGATGTTTGTTCTCATTATTTGAATAAGTTGAGTTTTTAAGTTGATGAAATTAGTTATAACTTGATATACCTACTAATACGAGTAGGATAGCTTTTTTAAACGTGTGTACTCAAAGTTAATATAAGTACTCAACACTTCAATCATTGATAAACGTTTTTGTATAATATTATTGGGTGTCACAGCCATATAGAGGAAGCAAGACTATAAAACAATAAGCTATTAACGACTTATCGGATCTGGCCCGTAATTTATGCAAATTACACACGCGCTTTGAACTACATTATACAGTTACGAACAAAATTACTTGCGGCTAAATTGGCCATACATTTTGGCTTCAAATATAATCTAGTATTGAATATATCAAAATTTAAATAACTTTTTTTGCTCGTTGCACCGACTGCCTAGATCAACGATCGCTTTATAGCTAGGAAATATCCGTTATAGGTCACAAAAAATAGTGCAGTTCAGATCAAATCCAATAAATCATCCAAATACGGCTAATCGATATTTTGCAGTTGATTATAAGAATCGTTTACATTGAACTTCTCCTTTAATGTGCTATTCATCACTAACTTATTTTGTAAAGCTGTGTTTACACAGGGTTCCGTCAGTTTGCGAGTACAAATACAATAGGTGTGTTCTTACAAATTAACTTACAAGTTTTAATTATTTTAAAATATTTTACTCGTATTCTTGTACGAGTATTTAAAATGCAACAAAGGTTACTTATAAACTCAAACACTGACCTCGATTTAGATAATGAATTTGGTTACTTTGCGGGTTTTGTTCCATTAAATTTTTTTTTGTCACATTACCACTACATTGTATTATTCTAATTGAAGTCGTATTTTCAATAATGCCAAATATTTAAAAATATGAAATAATAAACACCTTAAAAGTAAAAAATCACATTTATTCAACGCCAGAAGTTCAAAAACGGATTGAAAGTTGGATAGAGCCAGGGATTCTCCGCGACATCAGGTCTTGGCGGACTAAAGGGGAACATGTTCTTCAAAAACCAGGGCTCAATAGGGTCTATATTCCTTTGCTTCTCAAAGAAATCGGGCACCGGCTGGAATAAAAACTCCTTGAATGGTCGGTTTATGCTTAGAGGAAGAGCTTTGATGTCAGATGGATACCCTGATCTAGCTGTTGAAGAGACGACTACTGATCCCGGGTATAACTGTATGGACCCGGACGCGTATTTTCCGTCTCCTTCTTTCGTGACTGTTAGAGGGTAGTAGTATCCTGCTCCGTCATTGCTAGTGTAAGTTATTTGTTGGTCCAGGCCGGGGTAGATCTGGATTCCGCCGAGGGATGAGACGCGACCGTTCCTGGATGCAATGCCGGCGACACTGGATACTCCGAAGATGCCGTTTGATTCTTCAGGTTGTAAGACCTCTTGTTCCGGTCGTGGTAGATCATCTGTGAACGATATTTTATAATTATTTATTGCGAGTAACCAGCACAAGTGGGTGGAGCTTTGAGTTTCCTGTTTTACTTTCTAAACTCACAATATGAGTTATTATTTAGTTTTCTTAATCTAATCTATGGATTATTAAATTAATAGATTAAGTAACTTTTTGCAATTGTTTGTTATATTGTTTGTTTACCTGCTTTCACAAAAACTATGAGTATTGTGCAAAAAAAATACAATCGCAGACTGATCGCCATGCTGCAGATCCACGTGCCTAATGCAGGCCGGCCGCGAGCATCCCACTTTATATCCAGTCAAAGATTACAAGTTTGGGCCCATATTTCTGAAACGGTTCTTAATAATATTTATGGACAGACGACATACCAATTTTCCTCGCGCCTCTTCCAAGCTATAATTTCTCTATCATTATGGTTTTAACACCTGGAATTACTATCAAATATTGGCGATTCGATTAGCAATAAGCATCGTAATAACACAGCGGCGCTGTCAGTAAAGTGATTATTTGACTTTTTGTCTCAGATAGCATCTATGTTTTAGTGTGTAACAGTACTTTGTCTAGCAAAAAGTGTGCGAAAAAGTTTTCAAGTTAGTTTATTTATAAGTTGAAGTGGTAGTAAAATATTTAACAACATATCGGTTTGATTTTAGTCTAACAGTATAAAATATAATAAACTTTCCAATCAGACAGTTTGAAAATAATTGGTTATAACAAGTTTAGCTGCTCGGTAAGATAAACTTGTCTAAAGCTTCAGGTATAATTGCGAAGTGGTGCTGAATAGTCTTCAATTAATTCAATGGATCTAACACCTGTATTCACAAACGAAACAAACGCACAGCGTTGAATAGAGCTCTGTAATTGGTTCGTGTGTCACCCTGTGCGTCCACGCGCACTCTGAGACCTCATAGTGATGTTTGTGAATACATGTAAGTGATCAATTAAAAGGATTTTTAAGCTTGTATTTGTAATACATATTTTTATTTTACGGAAATCAAACACGCAAACTACGACGTAGGAATTGTTTTTCAAAACTTTGTCAAAGCGGTTGTTATTAGTCTAGGCGCAGACCACCGACTTTTAGTTGGCCGATAGTTGGGCCAGATTTTAATTTGTACGAAGAATCGGCCGAGACCAAATCGGTGTAATGTTTTCATTCATCTATGTATATTCCTACTGATTAACTGCCCGACTCAACTATCGGTCAACTAAAAGTTGGTGGTCTGCGCCTAGGCTTATAACTCTACTCGTATATATCTTAATTTAAGTACTTATTTAAAATCAAATAAAAATTTTAAACTTCTGAAAATTAACACGATATATACACTCGACATCAAATAAATCGCACCTCCTTGTAGCGTACAAGCACTTTCAAACGTATGCATCCCCACTTCCCACCATTTGAAATTTTTGTCTTTAGAAGGATCCAGAGTCACTTCTTCAAAAAATAGGTAGTTACGCTAGAGCCAACTTTTATGGCTATAAAACTGTTAAGTTGGGATTAATCGCTATCCATATCTGTTAAAGAGGACACGTGAGATCATTATTTGGATTTATAACCATAATTGGTCTAATTGATCCCATAGGTGGACCCAAAGTGAGGTATTTTTTCAAGTCACATTTATGGTATATGTTAATATTTATTAAGAAATTAAATGTATTTTTCTTTAAGGATATTTACCTATTGGGCTTTCAAATAACACCAACATTGTTGGGGCACCATGATTGTGTCAGAAGAAAATCGTTAAAGTTCGCGTCGCGGAAGGTGCGGTTTGTTTGATGTTGAGTCTATAATATAATATAGGATGATTAAAGCATCTATTTTCAGTTACAGACACAAAATATACGAGATATTGTATAAAAACGAAAGATATCAAAATCCTTTAATCACAAAGCGTTAACTTTACGATTAAAGGCCGCGGCGTAAAACGTTAATTTTGGCGTTAATATTCAGTGTTGTGTTTGTTGATAATTAAGGCCGGGTAACAGAGAAAATGGCGAAAATGAGGTTTTCATTTTTCATTTTTGAGGTACTAAACATTAAAATAAAAGGCTAAAATTTTTTTTGGGCATACTTGAGGATATTTTCTAGGGCTATTAACGGATGGAAACACGATTTGCGGCAGCGCTTCTGTCGCGCGTTTGTCGCGCTGCTAAATCGCCTAAATGTGAAAGCGCTCTTACCATGCTAGGTAGACAGAACCGGACCGTGAGTTTAGGGCGGCCCCGGGATACTACTTAGGGGCCCACTAATACTTTCGCATTATTGTATATTTTTATCGTTTCGCATATTTTTGACTTTGACTTGACTTAACTGGGGGCCCCTTGAATCCACGGGGCCCTGGGCTGAAGCCCAAAAAGCCATAATATGGTAGATCTGGCCCTGCTCATGGGCTACTTGTCAGACCTATTTTAGGACACAATTTCTAAAAACAATCTGTTGTACCTATACTTAATTAAATTTTAAATGTAGTTTTCAGTTTCAGTACATTAAGTTATGTTCACGAAATAATAGTGATATCATAACTTGTCTTTGCATTGCGTTTTGACAGCTAATGCACTTGAAAAAACGGACTGCCTCAATTAGGAATTGACCCACAACCTTCTGCTTGCCGGGTGACTGGGTACCTACCTACTCTGATCACTGAGCTACTACGGAGACTGCTAAACCCTACGTCTTAGGTGTATTTATGTGATCCAGTCGTCCGGAAGTGAAAAGTTGTGGATTCAATTCCCAGTTGAGGAAGTAGGTTTTAAATGTTGCGATGCGCCGATGTAAGTAGATATTAAGACACGAAGTTTAATTAAAACTTAAGCAATGGCCTGTTTTTAAACTACATTGACTGTGATTGGTTGAAGAATGAATTTTACTATTTTGGGTATTTACTACAGGCTTGCATACCTACGCATAAGTAGGTGTGGTAATTTATTTTTGAGCTTCGCGTCGCTTCAGAATACGGGCGATACTTATACTATACATATGTTCTGGGATTCGAAACCTTTGACTCGCAAAAACAAATAAAATGCATTTGAATTCGGAAATTTTCGTCTCGCCAGAATTCGTGATTCATCTCGATCATTGCCCTAATCTACCAAAGCTGCCGAGAGTGTGATATCGAGTTGCCTGAGATGCGACTCATAACGCTAGAAAATTTTAATAAGCATGATATTATCAACATCAATAAAATACAGCGAATCATCCTCGAACCTCTCTGGGGCGCTTTATCCAACTTTATCGATACAAGAAAGGAGGTATGCCACCTTATCGTGCTCAATATATTTTTGGGGTTTGCCAATTTTGCCTTAGAACGGTAGAGACTTGTAACATTCATAGTGATGTATTGACTGAAGGTGCACATTAATGCCGTGAGTCACTTTCCACTGACCGCAAATGTCCGCAAAGAACGTAAACATCAGAGGTAAAGGTCGGAGTCCTATTTGAATCAATCATTAATCTATGGATAAAGATTCTTAATATTGTCATTTACATTATTAAAAGAGTCGACTCTTATAATACGTCTTTGGGATGTAGGTCAAATAACAATCTTACTACTTAGGCCGACCATCTTACTTTGGCTTTAACAAACGTCAAAAATCTGTCAAATTCCATACAAAAAACGCCGATTATTCTTATAGTTACTGTTAAAGTAGATCCCACCAAAAACATTCTGTAAAAAACTAGCCAAGTCTCGATGGAGCTGCCTGTTTATATCTAAAAAGTAATGAAATCTAGACAAAGTCGTGCCAAGTCTATGGTTCCTTAATGCGATTTCTTTATTATTTATTGTTAATGTTGTGTGACTTGGCCGTTGAAGGGTACAAAACCAGATGCTCCATGACACCATTTGCACCAATCTGTCGCCAGAACCGCTACCCATTGACGATGGAAAATAAATTGCACTTGGAAAACGTTGATTCAATAACCAGTCAATTGTAGACTTAATAAAGCTGCGTATTTCAATAATACTTATGTATGATTATCTTAATAAAGATAGTTCAACGGCCAAGTCACACAACATTAACAATAAATAATAAAGAAATCGCATTAAGGAACCATAGACTTGGCACGACTTTGTCTAGATTTCATTACTTTTTAGAGATAAACAGGCAGCTCCATCGAGACTTGGCTAGTTTTTTACAGAATGTTTTTGGTGGGATTTCACTTCTTTTTGTAGAAAGTGGCATAATTATTTAACGTCGTCGTCTTTTCTTTTAATATTATCGACATTTTTTTTATATTAAACACAAATAAACTCAACGACCTTTAAAATGGACAACGAATCAGAAATTGTTTTAATAATAGCGAACCTCACGATATAATAAACGAAATCAACAAAATTCAAATAATTACACAACATTCAACTTAATCGACTGGGTCTAGAAAGGAAAAATATCTTGACACCGCGGTGCAAAAAAACGACGTTCAAAGTGCTAGCGGTGAGCAGTACAGGCGAACACCACGGTGCCGGTGTGGCGCTAGTAGTATTGATTATGAATGTGGTGTTACTCCAGATCTTCGATTTTCCTAGTTTTTATAGTTTTCCCTTTATGTGGCCATTAAACCCTAACCCTGTACCAAATTTCAGCTCTCTGAGTTAATGGGAAGTACTACTTCTATTTTGATGATCATCAGTGAGTGAGTGAGTGTCATAAATGCGAAACTTTGCTTTCGTTTAACTTCGGAACTAAATGACCTACAGACTTGAAATTTTGGATTTTAAGTATGTGATTATAGCTTACTAGATGACGAAAATTTCTGCGTTCTGGTCTTATCCAAAGGTTCTCAAATAGAGACCTGAAAATGCGGCGAAATGGTTCCAGTAAAGGATGGTACGGCAGTGTTTGCTTCGCGCTCGACTTGGCGGGGGCACTGCCGTGCCCCCAGATGGTGCAACACAGCCTTAGTATGTAACTTAAAAAACACCGTAAGTTGAAAGAATTTTTCCTAAAATGATTTTTGCAAAAAATACCAACTAAAATAGTTTAAAATTAAATTATATTTATTTTAATGCGAAATTAAAAGGTAGAGCTGCTAGGCAATTGAAGCGGCGGTACCTACCTACGCAGTACTTATTTATGTATTAAAATAAAAGACAAGGCACTAGAAGTTGCTAAAAAATCGTCCGTAAAACATAATAAAATTATGATACAAGTGATTTGCATAAGTTAATAAATAACACTATAAAAAAAACACGTGTGGGAAGTAACGAAGAAGCTTACGCGATGATTTACTTAAGTACTTGTTATTTTAAATAATTCGTGTCAAAAGCGGTCTACAAGTCATAAACACAGTTTTATAGCTTTAAATGTGTTTATTTTGATTGTACAAAAACAGACGGATTTTGATTGATATGGAACTCTATGACATAAAACCTACCTACTTATCTTACTTGTGTGACTATGATTTTTAATGAGCTGCGATTGAGTGACTCTCCTATGCAGCTTTCCTTGAGTTTTTTTAGTTTTTTGTGAGAAACAACCTCTTGGATACAAAACTTGTTTGCGATACTTATGGAACTACGAGAAACTGGGTGGCAATTTTCATTGTAAAGTGAAAAATTGCATTTTGATCACCAACACTATTCGCTCCCGTTTCAGCCTAGCCAGATTGTTTGCCTATCTTTCACGTAATTAAATCATCGGTGCATGTTTACGTTCCCTTGTTTTAGTTCCTAAAGACATGACATTTACCTATTAAACGATGTTTGAATGATAATAAACTAATAATCAACATACCGATGCTCATCTCGGAGGCCTGGTCGTGCGCCGCGCACACGTCGCGCTCGAGAGCCAGTTTTTCCTGTTCGACATAAAATCCATTATATTACGTCTAAATCGGACTCGGATGTCCTAAGGTGGACTTTGGTTCATGTTTTGCTGGGCTATTTTAGCCTTTGAACTAAATTAATATCGTCAACAAAAATTTTGGCTCAGATAGGTACCGAAAATTTCTTTAGTTCTTACGTACGAATAAATATTGTAATCGGTGCATTAGACTATGTACATATTTGGATTAGTATGTGCTGTGATTGATAATTAAAAAAAATCATTTCACGCATAATCAAAATCAAAATCAAAAATATTTTATTCAGTTTAGACCACAAGTGGCACTTATGAACAACATACTTACAATGCCTTTATAATTTTGAATTCCTCAACATTTTACGCACGCGTTTAAAACACGTTTGAGGACAGATTTGATCCGCTCGAGAACTGCACACGTGCTTAAGTTGTGTTTTTGAGATATTGAGATGAGAACACCTCTGAGCCGCGCAATTAGCCGCCAAAGTCTCAAGATCTCAAGACGCAAAACGATAACCTCAAGACGCAAAAAGTGAGTCATGGTTGAATTATTTTCCGTAATTTCTTTTAGCAGAACACAAATCCATCAGCCCTCCACTCGTACTCGCATATTTAGGAGAGAGAGTGTGGTAGAGCCGGATTATTGCCGCCCTCTATTCGTTTCGCCACGTTCATGAATTTTTCTTCAGTTTGTGTTGTGGAAATAACAAAAAATGGTGCGACATCGGCTAAACTTTAAATTGGATTTCGAGAAAAATAAGTTAGAAGGTAAGCGAGTTTAATTACAATTAGACACGATTATTACGATTACATAAAATCTGAAATTAATTTAATTTTATTAATTCGCATATGGGTAATGGAACACGCACACAGGAGCATCTTGAGTTCACTTTACCTATCGTCAAATAGGTATTCATGGGATTTTAAAAGGTTCCTGCACTAAATGTTTTTGTATTTTTAAATAAATTTTGTATTTTTAATTAAATTGAAATTAATATTAATAATTGAAACCCAATAAATTCACTGCTGAACATAGGCCATCCCCAGCCACTCAGATTTTCCGATTGTAATGGACTTTAGCAGTTTTCTGCAACTTCGTTATCTGACAACTTTGTTTTGGGGAGGATTAAGTAACTTCAGTGGCAGGCATCTACGAAATAATTTTGACGGTGAAGACTGAAACATAAGTACCCGCTGCAGCAGCGCCTTCTCGACGTCCCCGTCACGAAGCAGCTGCTTGAGGCGCTCCAGCTCTCGCATGGCCAGCCGCACCTTAGCGGTGTCTGACTCCAGCAGCGCTTTCAGCGTGGACACCTGGATGCGCAGGCGCTCCGAGCATGACACCTGATGAACACGACGAAATCTCAACACAAATAGTCAGCAACTATCGCCTTAGCTACCGCCCTTCAGTGGTATCAATGATACGGCCCCCAAGGCCAAGATCGATTAGGGGCCCTGTTGTTGGTTGTGGTAAAAAGGATTAAAAAATACCCATTACACTATCAGTGGTGCAAGCCGGTGATGTATTGGGTATAAGCCCTGGCGCTAGGGTTAAGCTTACCAGGGCCTCAGACAAGATATGATCACAACACAAGATGATCTTGTTATTCAGAGGCGAGACTCAAGAGCAATTTATTTGTCTTCACTAGTTACAAGAACAGGAGAGGAGAGGATCTCCAATTTACCAGACGCAAATCGTGGATTTGGCCTTTTCCCACTCAGTGCCCCGAAAACGCTAATTTTTAACGTTTCCAATAAATACGCGCTTCTTCTCCAGTTGCGCTCCGTTTTTCATTCCAGCTGAGGTGCAAATTCGGTATCACGGTAATGGACGTACCTTCCTAGTGTTTTCATTGTCACATTAGATATTTAGCTTTAAGTTTACGTCTATGCTTCGTTTCAACTAGCTGTCAAAACGACACCGCGATACGGATTTGTCATAACGGCTGATGTTCGTTCGTCGTCCGGGCACGTTGAAGATGAAATTTTTTAACTTAATCGGCGCCCTGGTCAGATGGTTTGGAGAAACCTGATGATCGCATATTTCCCTCCAAATCGCCTCTTACGATTTCGTGGTAAGAGTGGGAGTAACTAGTAATATTTATTAATAGGTATGGTTAGGGTGAAAGTGATATGATTTAGTTTTAACGAGCCAAATAATTTTTAAATGTGGCCAAGTCAAATTATTTTGAAGATTTTCCCTATTTGCAGTTGTATTTTCTTATTCAAAGGATATTTCCTTAGGAGAGATGAAGTTAGATCCTGTTTTGATGATTAACAAAGTTTATTGACGTTCCACTTCACCAGTTCCGGATATAGAGGATAATGTCCATTAATATTCACAGATATGAGAATATAATAATGACCTCAGATCCCGGATTTATTGACTACATATACCTAAAAAGGCTACGTTGGCTCTTATAAATAAACTTTTCTTACAAAGGTTACAGAGGCGATAAAATTGGTATCAAATCAAACCGTTAAATATATAAACTATCTTCGATTGCGCAGTGAAGTTATGTCAAGGGCACCTACTGAGACATTTTAAAGCTGAAGTCTTCTCTTACGATACTACATCTACAAAATTGGCATTTTCTATTGCCGCTTCAGACAGAGAGTCTATTCCTTTGGTTATTAAACGAATCTCAACAGTATGACACAAAATAGTGTATCTCAACGGGAATAAAGAAAACAGTCAACTACTTAGTCTTCATCGTGGCAGTGATATATTCTATAGAATGGAACTACAAGTTAATGAACTACGTCATGCGTATTCACATAACACGTCAACGGATGGCGTAGCAATTTTTTTTTATCTTAACGGTGCTTAGTGCATCCCTTTTTATCTTGTATTATGTCTTCAATAATGTCTCTTTTACACACGAATCTATGGTAATTCCAGTGCCATTTAGTAAGAGGAAAATTCACTTGTAAACAATGAGTCATATACGCACGCGACCAATGTGTACATACATTTTGCTAGACAATATTATGTGGGAATACGGATTAATTTCACAAAAAATTGTTAATATTTAAACGCCAAATTACATTGTAGGTGGTTACAATCCAAATTATGTTTTGCTAGCTATTGCAAGAAACTTCGCCCGTGTTTTTTTCGGTCTGTACGTCACTTATTGTCTTTATTCATTGATATCATCCATCAGGGATAATGTATAGCTCTATCTATGGTGAAAGAATTGTTTAAATCGGTCCAGTTTCGGAGCCTTCAAAAACAAATAAACCTTTTCTCTTTACAATATTTACTATTAAGATGGAGCACTAGTAGGTAGGCTTGTACCTGGCACTCCAGCGTCTTCCTCAGGCATCGAACCTCGTCCCTGCGCCGCCGCCAGGCGCTGACCACCAGGAAGTCGTACACCTTACGTGCCGCCTGCTCCTCAGCCGCCGACTGCAGCCCAGGCGACTTCACCGCTTCCAGGCTGCTTTCTTCCCTAAAGCATAACTCATTTGTAACCTCCTAATGATAGAAGAACTAAAGGATTGATATACTGCATGCGTTCTGCGGTCAACAGTCAGTTTACAGTGAACGCAGCCCGCATCATGAAACAACATTGTCGGTCTTGCCCGGACCGCCGACTCTTGCCCTGACCGACAATGTTATGGCAAATCCTTGTAGAACGACGGGAATCGCCAATCGTTCCAATCGACTAATTAAATATCTCTACTTAATTCTGAGAATGAATTCTTGAGAGGTTAAGTAATAACACGAAGGTAAACTAGCCGAGAATGTCCTATGGCATTAAGTTCGCCTTATTTTCGAATTTTGGAATTAAAAAATAAATCATTATCATTACACAGTAAAACAAAGTCACTTTCCGCTGACTGTCCCTATGTTTAAATATTTAAAACTACTTACGTTACGGATTTTGATGCGGTTTTTTTTAAATAGATAGAGTGATTCAAGAGAAAGATTTTTAAGTATAATACATTGTACCTGTGCGAAGCAGGGGCGGGTCTCTCTAGAAAATAAATAAAGTAAGACGATTTTGGCTTGATCTGCTAGCTATGCAGTGGCTCTACCAGAAATTACTAGAACTTACTTTGCGTACTTCTTGAGAATTGAATCCAGTTTTAGAAGGACGACTGATTTAATACACCTAATCGTTGCAGTTTTCTTAATAAGTACCCAACTAATCGGATTAAAAAATATGTTCACCTATGTTTTTCCGCGAAGCGGTGCAAAGATACATACCTATGTATCAATTCCACGTAGTTTTGTTATACATATTTAATTGGCACGCGATTCACTGAACCCATCTCAGTAACAAAACACGAAATCACTTTGTTTACGGATGACGATGCCACTTGAGACCAGCCGCGCGCGACTCAAGAGCGCGTAAACCGCTCTCAAGACCGTTCTCAAAGTTTGAGATAATATAGCATTTGAATATTTTCAATGATATTCAAGTTGACATTATCTAAACATGTTATTTGTGATTAATTATTATGCCACAGCTAATCATCAGATAACCTTATTAAATTGGCACAGTCTTTCGGATTCCTGTTGTAAAAATGACTCACCTGCATTTTATCTTAAACCAAAACATCCTCAAGTTGTGGGATTAGGATTACGTGGTTAAGGCAGCGGTAGACACGATACAACAAAAACGGTACAGGAAAAGTGTCGTGACGTAACCTTTGTTGTATTGACATGGTGTTACGTCACTGATGTGTCAGAACAGTGGTAGGTTGTACCACAAAGTGATACCACAAGCTTGATGCCTTGAGAACAAGGTACAAAATCTGTTCAAAGCCTTCATGAATGTACATACTTGCCATTGTGGCGCGTGCGACGCGATTTGCACACACGTGGCGCAGGACAACAAGATAGTATTTGAGTTGCACCATGATGCAATCTGGGGGCACGGCAGTGCCCCCGCCAAGTCGAGCGCGAAGCAAACACTGCCGTACCATCCTTTACTGGAACCATTTCGCCGCATTTTCAGGCCCCTATTTGAGAACCTCTGGATAAGACCAGAACGCAGAAATTTTCGTCATCTAGTAAGCTATAATCACATACTTAAAATCCAAAATTTCAAGTCTGTAGGTCATTTAGTTCCGAAGTTATGCGAAAGCAAAGTTTCGCATTTACGACACTCACTCACTGATGATCATCAAAATAGAACTAGTACTTCCCATCAACTCAGAGAGCTGAAATTTGGTACAGAGTTAGGGTTTAATGGCCACATAAAGGGAAAACTATAAAAACTAGGAAAATCGAAGATCTGGAGTAACACCACATTCATAATCAATACTACTCCGGCACCGTGGTGTTCGATTTCGTTTATTATATTGTAAGGTTCGCTAAGGTTATGTTATTAAAACAATTCTGATTCGTTGTCCATTTTAAAGGTCGTTGAGTTTATTTGTGTTTAATATCGTAAAAAAATATCGATAAAACGACGACGTTAAATAATTTTGCCACTTTCTACAAAAAGAAGTGAAATCCCACTAAAAACATTCTGTAAAAAACTAGCCAAGTCTCGATGGAGCTGCTTGTTTATCTCTAAAAAGTAATGAAATCTAGACAAAGTCGTGCCAAGTCTATGGTTCCTTACTTATATTAGGATTTTATTTTGAATGTAATGGGGATTAATGAACTTTTTAGTTTATTATTCCCGTAATAAGTTCCAATTTAACGTTAACGGGGAATAGTGAACAAAAAGTTCACTAATCCCCGTTGACGGGGATTGTCAACGGGGAATAGTGGAATAAGCCTATTCTTTTTGAGACTATCAAGCTGTACCTATTTATAGGCTTGATCATAATCTTGATCAACAAAGATATTGAATACTAGCTGACCCGGCGAACTTCGTACCGCCTTAGCGTAGAGATTTTCTTAATATTTTTTTCCGTAAGAACCATCCTTGGACTTCCACAAACATTTAAAAAAAAGAATTATCGAAATCGGTTCAGCCGTTCACACGTGATGCCGTGACAACGCGAAACGGGTTTCATTTTTATATTTACAAGATAAGATTGATCTCTATACAGGGTGTTAGGTAAATGGGTATACATATGAGCCGACACTAGCCCATGTTAACATGGGCATATAAATGGTATGGTGAAGTCAGAAATGGCAATGCCAGATTTTGTATGGAAGGTGGCGTCTTTTTTTTTTTTCGCGCGGCCATCGACCAAACTTTGTTTTTTGATTACAAAATAGTGTAATAAACCAAACTTACTATGACATGTATACCTCTAAACTCAGTCTGAACTGAGTTACGAGCATTAGAAGTTTGATGATTTACATACTAGATTTGCTTTTTGCGCGCAAGTTTTGTAAGAAATTGCAACAAAATATTGCGCTATTTTTTATTGCGCTGATTCTGCTCCACACTGATGTCTGGAGCCAGTGGGCTAATTCAAATGCATTTGTCGAGAGTAGAAATCGTCTGTCAAATAATTTTCTAGTAATCAATTTTGAACTGATTGTCAAGGTAATACAGTTGAAAATTGAATATCAAAGCCAGACTACGCCTAATGTCAGATCAGCCGATGGTAGATGCCAAATTTCCAATATCGCGTACGAAGACGGAGAACTTTGTCAATATAGTGGTACATAAGGGTCATAATTAGTGGATGCCGACGATTTTCGCGCTGTCATCTCAACGACTGCCCACGGTCTTTAATGGATGGTATTGTTTGTTTACACATACAATGTCACTATTTTGTTGCAATTTCTTACAAAACTTGCTCGCAAAAAGCAAATCTAGAATGTAAATCATCAAACTTCTAACGCTCGTAACTCAGTTCAGACTGAGTTTAGAGGTATACATGTCATAGTAAGTTTGGTTTATTACACTATTTTGTAATCAAAAAACAAGGTTTGGTCGATGGCCGCGCGAAAAAAAAAGACGCCAATTTCCGGCATTGTCTTTTGACATCACCCTTTTTTTTTTTTATAATTTTCATACAAAATATTTTTTATAAAATCCGATTTGTATGAAAATTAAAATAATTAAAATGAAGATATCAATTTTCTGACTTCACCATACCATTTATATGCCCATGTTAACATGGGCTAGTGTCGGCTCATATACCCATTTCCCTAACACCCTGTATATGTCATAGTCAAAGGTCGATATGCAGTCTCTTCGCGGAATGACTGGTCTATCCTAGGTTTGACCAAGGCTTTCGGGCCAACCCCGAAATAAATTCCTATTTCGGCCTTTGACTAAGTCAAACCTAGGAGTTCCTAACTGTTCAGTCAAACGTCGAAATGAAAATAATCTGTTTCGGGCTTTGCCTAGTCAATCCTAGAAGCGACTGATAGACTCGGTCAAAAGTAGACGCGGCGTTACAGAGGCCGGTAGCAATTATAGTAAACCCACCAAGTTCGAGTCGGATTCACGCACGAAGGGTTCCGTACGACTCTTTTATTGTTGTATAGGAGCCCCCCCCCCCCTCCCTAAATATTTATTTTATTTTAATTTAATGATTTATTTTTAAGTAAATATGCAACTGAATATTTATGAATATTTCAAGCTTTCACCTATTGCCGTAATTAATTGAGCAAAAAACGGCAAAAAATCACGCTTGCAGTAAATAAGTTTAGTTACTGGTACCTTCACCTAAAGAGATGCGCGTGCACGATAAAACCTACAGTAAACTTCGATATCAGAATGAAGTACATAGTTAGTTAATTTCTTAATTGAGGTTTGACTAGTCAAACCCCGATTTCATTAAATTGATTTTCGACGTATGACTGACCAAATTAGTTTGTCCTAGGTTTGACTAACATTATTTAGTCAAAGGCCGAAATGTTTGGGCTTTGACTAAGACTTCAAGTCAAACCTGAGGATTGACTAGTCAAACCTAGGAGCGCCTGAGCTTTGAGGTTTGACTATAACATATACACTAAAATAAACTGTTTTATTTATTACTAGCTGACCCGGCGAACTTCGTACCGCCTTAGCGTAGAGATTTTCTTTATATTTTTTTCCGTAAAAACCTTGTACAGAGTATTAGAAAACTACAAAAAAAAATCAGCCAAATCGGTCAAGCCGTTTTCATGTTATGTCATGACAACGGAAAACGGGTTTCATTTTTATATAATATATAGATTAAGCTCAAATATTTGTCTGTTACTTTTTCGCTTGGCTCAATCGAAAATCGACCCATGACCACCGCCGAACTCAGTGACCACCACTTAGGTTAATGGAATTTATTTCTCATAAGAACTTTAAATAATTCTTTAAACATGAAGATGTTTTTGGAAAAAAATTAAAGATAGCTCAGTGTCTTTTATAATCAATGTAATGTAATAAAATTGCGTCATATCACTCTGGGAAAACTGTAGTTAAAGTAAACAGATTGTGGTTACAAGTTGCACAATATTTTTAACTGTAATGCATTTAAAATTTGTGCAACTATGAGTAATTAATGAATTTCTTTTATAAAAACGTAACAATTGTTCGCGGTTCGCCATTTTTTGAGACTACCTATTGCGCAGCTGCGGTAGGTACTGTTCGAGTCAGATCTTTTAATGCGTTCCAGGTTGAGGTAGAGCAGCCGTTTTTCATTTTAGACCGGTATTCACAAACGATGCTTGCTTGAGTGAAGCAGTAAATCGAACGCACAGCGTTGAATAGAGCTCTGTGATTGGTTCGTGTGTCACCCTGTGCGTCCACGCGCACCGTGAGAGCTCATAGTAGTGTTTGTGAATACGGGCGTTAGTCCTCTTGATAGACGACAGTTGAAGCTAGGTTTGGCTATGCTAGTTAGCGTAGTTGTAATTTCTCCTGAAAGTTACCGCCATCCATCAGCTGTGTTCATAGGACGAAACCAAACCAAACCACCTTCCTCATGTTCTTGGTCCTCTTGGTAAACCGAAAACGTGTGGTACTCTTCACACGTGGTGCTAGTCGAAGCAGCTTTTGATGCGTTACATATTTAGGGGAGAAGCAGCAGTTTATAGTTTTAAGTCAAGTTAAGGAGTAAACTCTTCTATAAATCAGACTATTTACCACATGTTTTTGGTCCTCTTGGTGTCTTGATATACCGTAAACGATGAATACCCATAGAGGCAACCTTCACGAGTGGTGCTACTTACTCGAAGCAGCTTTTCATGCGTTCCAGATATTGGGGAGAAGCAGCAGTTTACCAAGTCTAAGAGTAGGCGCACACCTTTGATTTTTAGTTGGCCGATAGTTGTGCCCGATTTTAAATTGTATGAAGAATCGGCCAAATCGAATCGGCGTAGTGTGCGCACTCCCATACATGCCCATACTGATCAACTGCCCGACTAAACTAGATCGGCCAACGAAAAATCAATGGTGTGCGCCTACTTACTCTAAGTTAAAAATTAGAATGTAAACTCTTCTGTAAATCAGACTACTTACTTACTTTATGTTCTTGGTCCTCTTGGTGGGCATGAGGTCCTCCATGGAGACGGCCTTGGTCTGCGCGCGGAACTGGCCGAGGCAGCTTTTGATGGAGGCCAGGTTGGGGCAGCTCTTGATACGCGCCAGTTTGGGGCAGTTCTTGATGCGCTAGTTTGGGGCAGCTCTTGATGCGCGCCAGTTTGGGGCAGCTCTTGATGCGTGCCAGGTTGGGGCTGGGGACACTTACCTCATGTTCCTGGTTCTCTTGGTGGGCGTGAGGTCCTCCATGGAGACGGCCTTGGGCCGCACGCGCACGCGGCGCGCGGGTGTCTGCACGCGGAACTGGTCGAGGCAGCTCTTGATGCGTGCCAGTTTGGGGCAGTTCTTGATGCGCGCCAGTTTGGGGCAGCTCTTAATGCGCGCCAGTTTAGGGCAGCTCTTGATACGCGCCAGGTTGGGGCAGCTCTTGAAGCGTGCCGGGTTGGGGCAGCTCTTGATGCGCGCAAGTTTAGGGCAGCTCTTGATACGCGCCAGTTTGGGGCAGCTCTTGATGCGTGCCAGGTTGAGGCAGCTCTTGATACGCGCCAGTTTGGGGCAGTTCTTGATGCGCTAGTTTGGGGCAGCTCTTGATGCGCGCCAGTTTGGGGCAGCTCTTGATGCGCGTCATGGGACTGGGGACACTTACCTCATGTTCTTGGTCCTCTTGGTGGGCGTGAGGTCCTCCATGGAGACGGCCTTAGGGCGCACGCGCACGTGGCGCGCGGGCGTCTGCGCGCGGTACTGGTCGAGGCAGCTCTTGATACGCGCCAGTTTGGGGCAGCTCTTGATGCACGCCAGTTTGGGGCAGCTCTTGACGCGCGCCAGTTTGAGGCAGCTCTTGACGCGCGCCAGTTTGAGGCAGCTCTTGACGCGCGCCAGTTTGAGGCAGCTCTTGACGCGCGCCAGTTTGGGGCAGCTCTCGATGTGTGCCAGGTTGGGACTGGGGACACTTACCTCATGTTCCTGGTCCTCTTGGTGGGCGTGAGGTCCTCCATGGAGACGGCCTTGGGCCGCACGCGCACGCGGCGCGCGGGCGTCTGCGCGCGGAACTGGTCGAGGCAGCTCTTGATGCGTGCCAGGTTGGGGCTGGGCACGCTGCTCTTGGCTGTGAACTTGTTAACGGGTACTGAGAACAGCTGCTTCTTCGGGTGAGCTGGTTGGACTCGGCTGGAAAAATAATAATTTGATATAGAGCATATTTTACATAATTATGTACGCGCCTGAAGAGTCCGCGCGATTTGTTTTTTGAACTTGAAAACCTCTATTCCTTCTCTTGGGAATGGAATCGACGACCATTCGTTTTCCGGACGAATGCTCTGATTACTGAGCTATGGAGATATGGGTAAGCCCGTCAATAGATGAAGTCAAAAAGGCTCAATATCTGGGTCTTGCATGAGTTCAAGCACTAAATAGATAGTACAGAGTACAGACAGAAGACAATAATCTGTTACTTTACTATTTTGCATACGCACAGTGCACACCGACGCGTCTCAAGCGGACAGCACTCGCGCTTGCACTGGTTTAGATTGGTTTGCGATTATTGATGATATCATGCCCATGGTTAGAGTGGTTTGGGATTATTGGCGATATCGTGTCCGTCAGCGTTGTCTATACGCTAACGCTAACGCACTGTATGAAAATTGTCTTCTGCTCCTATATTTTTTGGGTCAAGAAGGTACATACGTGGGAGGCGTGGCCTGCAGGCTGTCTCTCTCCCTCGAGAGCTCCCTCTCGGATATGTCCCCTGCGCCGGCGCGCGCCACCGGCGACGTGCTCTGCGGTATCTTCAGACCTTCGGGCATTCTCATCGGAAAATGTACAAATATTTATGAAAGTAGCGACTGATCACTTTGGTCATCCAATTGTTATTGTCAGTTTGACAGCCAGCAGCCACCGATGATTATTCGTTTTTTGAAATTTTTAAACAATCACCTGTTTAATAAAATGAGGTGGAATTCCTATGGTCTTAATAATATTCATTTCGTTTGGTTTATTATTTTGTTTATTCGATTTTTACATTTTTTTACAAACTTGAATAATATTAAAATACCTATTTACAAAATCTTTCCACTGCAACTAATAAAATACATACAGTCAAAGTGAATTAAATAACTGCACCTGAAGTTATAGTTTTGTAGGTAGAGTTCAGACAGATAACACTAACAATAACACAAGCTAACAATAAACTATATTATATATAATATAATTACAGAAATTTTACCATAATATATTAATTATACATTTATTTTTCATGATTAAGAGGTTTTTCCAATGAGCCAGTGCAGTGTTTTGAACGAGGCGAGGTCGGGAAGTTATCTTTTTTTATCAGTAGGAAATCACATCCCAACTGAAATTCCAGAATTTACGAACTATTCAGTATAGTAATTACTGTAGCGACAGTTAGTCGTGCTAAAAGAAGAGGCTGAAATAGAAGTTTGTTTAGTAGCTTTAAGATTTTAGAAGCTACTCGTATCTACTTTAAAAGCAGCTCGTACTTCTTCGGCTATAATTGACTGTGAAACTTACTTCAGTGACTTCTGGAATCGGGAAAGATGCCAATCTATCCCTTTTTCAGCGATGGACTACGACGAGGTAAATAAAAAATGTTAATCTAAAAAATAGTTAAATCGCATACAAATTAAAAAATTCAGATCCATCCCAGTCCATGTATTTTTGCGTACAGCAGTGTTTTTTTTTCATTGATAATTAATTATATTTTTAATTACTACTTAATGCTAATTTAATTTAATACCAACACTGATACAGGGTTATTTGTAAAACACCAACAACCTCATAGGAATCGTGACATTTGCAAGTCTATCTATGGCCAAGTTGCACCACCTTAACTTAACCGTAACTATAACCGGTTTTATTGCATGGACTTTGACACACTTTTGTCGTTTGTTATAGTTTTTGTAAGATAGTGCAACCCGGGGAAGTCTCATTCATAAACCAAAGAACGATGTAATCGATAACTGACTGATCTTGATGATACGCGCACGCGTAGATAAACATTACAGCGAGCGGTTAGTAAAATTATTTGTATTGCTCAATAGGCCTCGTGGTAATTAATAAATTAAAATAATATGCTTGTATTACGTACTACTACGAGAGGGTTCACCACAATAAGTAGTTCGTCGGGGGTGGGGTTCGAACCCGCTGTATAATTTTACAGTGCCTCTACAATTTTTTTTTAAATTTAATCAATTAGGTATTTCCATGTTCACACCTACAAAATCTTTCGTTAATGATTGATTACACTAAACGTAGTAATTTGTCATTATAAATAAACGTGTCCTTTTAATAATCAATGAAAATGAAACATTGAATGGGCCTTTTTGATAAAACACATATCGCCAAGGGAAAAACCAAGCGATAAATCGTCTATTATTCGCGTTTTTGTACTAGGTACTTATCAGTTCACTCAAATATGAACCGTTTTACAGTTTACTTTCATGTACATTTAATTCAAAATAGTTGCTAAGCACTTAATTTGTAGTTATTAAAAATATTTTTGATACATCAAAGTTTATTCAGTGTTAGCAACATATTAGCCGTACAACAATGAGCAGTAAGTAATGTTTCTACACATTTTCTTAAAAATATTGCGTAACTAACTTGTGCATTCGGCTTTGCATGTGTCTATTTCGATCTGTCACAGAAAGTCTTATCACGATCGCTATCAAAATAACGGTTTTTATAGAGTTGGGGATCCTCCTTATGGGGTAGCTTGCTACATATTGTATAGTGATCTGTGTTATGGGGAGGACTCATGGATTCGATAAGCTGATGGGGAGGTTCGTCGTCACATTTTATTACGACTCATACGATTGAAGAAGAATTCATGTTTTTGGTTAAGGTTGACCATTTTATAGGTATTTAGTGATAAGGAAAAGGAATACAATATTTTTGATTGCTCACATTTCAGTTAGCCTTTGCATTTTTAATATTATTCAGTGCTTATTCTTTGTTAAAAATCTCCAAAATCAAGTGATTTGATTTGATTTTTGATAGCCACATTAGAACAGCACGCAAAGTCGTTTTTTTAAACGCGTGGATTTGACGTCACGCTTTTTTGACAGAAATCTACAATTTAACTCAAGCGTCGCCGCGCTTGTAATCCGCCAGTATGGCAAGGCCCTTCCACCGTGTACAGCAGGCCGAACGAAGAGTTATAATTTAATAACTTTTAAAAGCGATGTATGTATTTCAATGCACGTTACTTGTTTGCTTTTCATACTACCCGTCATTTACATGGTGTCTTTTTCAGACTGTATGGACGCGCCCTCCAGTATCCTGCTGAAGTACGCGACCCTGGGACTGAGGGCGGCGCGCCGGCCCCCCGCCGGGCCCAGGCCCCCCGCCGGGTCCAGGCCCCCTGCCGGGTCCAGGCCCCCCGCCGGGACCAGGCCCCCCGACGATCCCAGGCCCCCCACCGAACCCAAGCCCTACAGGTTCATTTACAAGTAACAATCTTAAACTTATAATTTTCAAGTAATTATAAATGTGTCGATAATATTGTCCTAATTAAATAAATTATATTAGTTAAAAAAAAAGTAACAATGCGTACTATTTATACTAATCCTACTAATATAAATGTGAGTTTGTGAAGATATTTATAATTTCCACGATAATTTATCGGATAACAACCTTGACATGTAATTATACATATATATCCCGGGGCGTCCGTCTCATCGCTTGACTATAAAATTGAAGAGTTGCGTGTNTTATGAGGTACGTACCTCATGACATATAAGTAGATTATAATTATTTTTTTCACTAGACAGCAACCCTAACAGCGTAAGAAGAGTTCAGAGGCACGCGATAGAAAGAGACAAAACTTGTAGGTGAATAAAATTGTAGGTACGTAGTGCTGTGCGAGCTGAATTCCACTGTATCGCGTCGCAGCAAGACTCGCATTTATTTAAATCGTCTTGCGGAGTAATCCTTCTGTACCTGTACTATTACCTACTTATTCTGTGGTATAAGGATGAAATGTCTCCAACAAACTTGATTAATCAAATGAAAGGAAAACCATGAAATCTTAAATTATTTTTATTATTCCCCTTCCCTCCCGGACCGCTGAGGAGATCAGTCGCCTTTCTGGTTAAATCCACATTTGTTTATTTTTGAAAATAATATCGAAAAATAAATCCAATAGACTCGCGAGTGATACCAGGAGCCCAGCTAGTGAAAGGAGTGGGCACTTGCTGTGCGAGTGCGACAACACGCTATTCAACAAAGACGGATATTGTTCTGTTGCGCGCGCTGCAATCTACGCACCGTCTAACCCCGCCCGATCGTCAGTGGGGTATGCGCCTACGCACGCCCCGCCTCCATCGCCTTTCACTTGCCGTCGGCGCGTGAGTTTATCTACGCACTCATTTAGGCCTACACACGACGCGGAACTTTATTTTTCTTGTTTACTATGCCGCAAACACAGCGCACTCCTCCAAATAACTTGCTAACAAGAGACAATCCGCCGCATTATGGGTCGGACCCCGTCTTAAACAAGGATCCTCCGAACTCAACTGACCGCGAGGAACTAGCAAATATTACGAAAAGATATAAACGTAAACTTGACCTCACTCCCGGAGCGTCCGACTCATCGCTTGACTATAAAATTGAAGAGTTGCGTGTATCACAGGAAAATAGATTTGATATTCTTTCTAACGCTCTTACAACACTAATTGAACAGAATTGTGAGATTAAAAAATCGATGGAGTTTATGTCTGCTAAATACGACAGCCTACTGAACAAAGTTGACTCCCTCGAGAAAGAAAACTCCCACTATAAATCGCAAATAAAAACGTTAGAAGAACGAGTAGAATCATTTGAAAAGGAAACTAAATCAACCTCAATCGAAATAAGAAACATCCCTAAGTCTGAACGCGAAAACAAGGAACATCTGCTTTCTGCGGTCAAAAATATCGCCTCAAACGTTGGAGCAACCCCTTCCCTTGAAAGTACTGAAATAAGAGATATTTTCAGAACAAAGTCCAGCAATATTGTTGTCCAATTCACCTCAACCCTTAGAAAACAAAGCCTTGTATCGAAGATTAAGGAATATAACAAGTCTAAGAGAACTAATAAGGAGCACCAACTGAACACCGGGACCCTAGGACTGAAAGGAGAAGTTAAACCAGTCTTTGTATCGGACAGTCTCACCTCCAAAAATAGACATATCTTTTACCTAGCAAGGGAACGGGTTAGGGCTGGGAGGATCTACGCCGCCTGGACCTACCGCGGGAACGTTTACATTAGAAAGTCAGAAGGTGATCAACCCGTCCTTATAAACAACGAGCAAGATCTAGAAAACCCAACTATAGATAAGAATTAGTTATACAGTAATTTTAAGAGGTAATTTTTAATTAATATACTCGCTTTATATTGATTGTAATATTATTGTAACTATTTTATTCATAAATTTGTTATAACTCGGTCCTTTTCAGTTCTCGATTTCTCTTATTTTTATATTGTACGTAATATAACTACTTTTTTTTACAATGGCAGTACATTCTATATTAAACTCCTTGGACAATCTCGAAAAACTAAGCATATCTGAATCATCTATGTGTGATATTGATAGCTGTGTTCCTCCCAATTTTGACTGCCGACAGCATCTAAAACTGCTAAATCAGAATATTAGAAGTATATCTAAAAACATGACTGAATTATATACACTTCTTACTAGAACGAATGTATCATGGGATATAATAACTCTGACTGAATGCTGGCTCCCAGGTGGTGTAGTTGTCCCGGACATTGATGGGTATGTAACTTACAAAACTACCTTAAATCGCACACAAAATGAAGGAGTAGTTACTTATGTACAGAAACATCTTAGTGTCACTGTTGAGGAGCCGGCTCTCCAGGATGCAAATTGCCTTCAAGTTAAAGTTGACCATAACACCATCCTACTCTCTATCTACAGGCCCCCTGGATATAAGGACTTAACTAACTTTCTAAACTCTTTGGACGTAGTATTGTCCAAAATTTCACGCTACCAAAATATTATTATTTCTGGTGACATAAATATAAATATTGGGGAGCAATCCCAAGACACAAATAAGAATAATTACCTGAATTTATTNCTGCATGCTCTGCATGCTTATCTACTCTATTAAATTATATATGATTTTTTTAAAGATACGAGTATGTCTGTTATAAAGTAAATTATTCTGAACAACAACATTATGAGTTGAAGCATGTTCTAAGTAACAACATTATTAATTAAAATAATCAATGAATGTTATGAAGAAAAAATATCTGAAAATAAAAATTATGTATTTTAAATGGTTCTTGGTAGTAACAGTATTGATAAAAAAAATATGATTAATAACTGTTATGAGCTCCGATGGTAGTAATACAAATGTATGAACAAAAAAAGTATGAAAAATAAAATTATGAAGAGAGATTATTATGAACACAAATCGGTAGTAAGACAAAGAATAGGATTTAGAATTTTATGTGAGCCAATATAGAACCATATCGTATACACAAATACGGTACATAAATTTATAATCTGTAACGCAAAATAATAATACATTATTTATTTAAGAAGAGTATTAATTTCACTTAGCGAATTATTAGCGCAGATCCTTTTCACAGGTCCAAGGTCTATGTCTGTACCAAATTCATCTCAATTAGTTTAGCGGCTTAGGCAGTGGTTTTATACATTAACGTAGACGTTTGCAAAAGCAAAATAGAAAATTGTTTCTAATCGCCAACAAATCAGTGATCACCGAGTCATGAAAAACTAGAAATGAAATCAAAATATTTATTCAATTTTGACCAGTATTTTGGCACTTAAATCGGGAAGTTATAAGATCACCAAAAATAAATAAATATTTATGCAATTCGTATGTGAAAAATAACATACCTAATAACTTACAGTCAGCGTCAAAATTAAATACTTCGTGACATCAAAAATAACCAAAGTTCGAATAAGGTTGTGGTCAACTTTTGGGCGCCTTTGGGTGTCACTATTTAACAGTTTTGACGCTGACTGTACAGTAAAATACTAGCATGTAGACGTAGGCACATTCATCCTAATTACACATCTGCTGATTGCTTAATAGGTACATATGACGTCTTCCAGGTTAGGGACAATGTACGGCAAATGCTTCACAAAGGGAGGGGAGAATAGTTAATTACCCCTATTCTGTTCAGCATGCCTTCAGACGAAACCATCTAAGTTCGATTTTAGACAAAAGTGGAAATAATGACCTGTTTAGTTGTTACAAAAAAGGGCTTTTAGAATAATTTAACCCGATTAAAATTATTAAACTTATTGTCATTTCAGCTTATGGTTTTCCTCTTGAAAAGCACCACCAATTACAATCCGCTTCATTATCCAACTTCGGCGAACTTCGTACCAATAATAAGGTATCTAAATTATTTTCGGCCCTCCAGGATGCAAATTGCCTTCAAGTTAAAGTTGACCATAACACCATCCTACTCTCTATCTACAGGCCCCCTGGATATAAGGACTTAACTAACTTTCTAAACTCTTTGGACGTAGTATTGTCCAAAATTTCACGCTACCAAAATATTATTATTTCTGGTGACATAAATATAAATATTGGGGAGCAATCCCAAGACACTAATAAGAATAATTATCTGAATTTATTGGCGTCCCATGGCCTTCTACCGGCCCACACACTCCCCACAAGAATGAACGCCTGCCTCGATCATATGTTTCTTAAAACTAACTTACCAGCTAGGACTTTTGTGGCACCCTCTTCCTTGACAGATCACGACACTGTTCTGCTTTATCTTGCTAAGAGGATACCTAAACGTGTCTCAAATGGTACTGCTAGGAAAATCAATTACGACCAGTTATCCATAGACATAGCCAAAATCAATTTTGACCCTATCTTTCATACTTTGGACCCTCACGTAGCAGCAGATATTCTCATTTCTCTAATTTCTAATGCAATTAAGACCAATACAAAAATTGTCAAGGTTCCCAATCGCAAAAAATCCATTAAACCCTGGATCACTCCAGGCCTCCTACGCTGTATTCGCCACAAAGATAATTTGCATAAAAAAGTTAAACAGACACCAGAAAATGAGATACTAAAAATTAGCTATCTACGATATCGCAACTACTGCAACAAACTAATAAAAAAAACAAAAAGAGACTTTGAAAAAAACAAAATAAACGAAGCTGGTAAATCAAAAAACAATAGACAACTTTGGGAAGCAATTAACGATGTGACAAATAGGAATAGGAAAGGGAAGGAGACTGATATGTCGCAACTCTTGACCTTGTGCGATAATCCAAAACTCTCATTAGACTACGTAAATAATTATTTTTGTGATGTTGGAAAAAACCTAGCTGAAAAGTTTGATAACGTAACAACCAACAAGACAAAGATTTCACCGGCTAAAATACATAAAAACTCGTTCGTCTTACTATCTACAGATGAACAGGAAGTGTGCGAATTGATAATGTCTCTGCGTAATGATTGTGCTACTGGCTGGGATAATATTTCAAATAAGATCCTAAAAACCCACCTAAATGTTATAGTGCCGCCCTTGACCCACATTTGTAACTTAGCTCTTACTATGGGTTGCTTCCCTAGAGCTTTTAAAAAAGCAATCATTAAACCTATTTATAAGAGTGGGGACAGAGATCGTGTTGGCAATTATAGACCTATAGCCATTTTATCCTCTTGTTCAAAAATCCTAGAACGTATTATTAATCGTAGACTTGTTAGCTATCTAGAAAAAAACGATTTATTTTTCCCTTCTCAATATGGTTTCCGTGCCGAAAAGTCCACTTCTGACGCTGTGCATGACCTGACTGACTACATTGTTAGAAACCTAGATAGTGGACATAAAGTTTTGGGAATATTTTTGGACTTGGCAAAAGCATTTGACACGGTCTCTGTCCCGATTCTGCTAAGTAAATTGGAAGGCATGGGAATACGGGATGTGCAGTTGAGACTCTTCCAGAGCTATCTAAGTGAGAGAACCCAGCGAGTTAAAGTAGATGATGTCATCAGCGATGAGCGCACTGTCAATTATGGAGTTCCCCAAGGCAGTGTGCTAGGGCCCACACTTTTTCTAATCTACATTAACGAACTGGGAGGGCTTAAGCTACCTAACGGAAAATCCATAATTTTCGCAGATGATACAGTCCTATTATTCAAAGCCAAAACATGGGAAGAGGTATACGGAAATGCTCAGCATGGAATGAATCTTGTAACGCAATGGCTAAAAAATAATGTGCTGACCCTAAATGCCGACAAAACCAAATTTATTTCTTTTACTATAAAAAAACAAGTTGACTCATCACCTAATCTTGCTCTGACTGCTCATTCCTGTCTTATGCCAGGACATGGTACCTGCTCCTGTCCTTATCTAAACCGTTGTGAGAGTATCAAGTACTTGGGAGTCTATATCGACGAACATCTCAGATTCCAGGAACACATCAACTCTCTCAACAGTAGGCTCAGAAAANGGTCGGGCCGCGCCGGCTCCTTCGGCTGACCACAGCGCATGATGCTGACCGAAGCGGCCCCGGTTCCTTCAGCTTATCGCTTTCATCAAAGAACTTGCTGCAAATCATTGACTCACTCTCTTCCAGCCTCGAGCTGATGCTCTCGCTGACGGAGTGGCTGCGCTTGAACGACTCGCGGTCGGGCCGCGCCGGCTCCTTCGGCTTCTCGACGGCTGCGCTGACCACAGCGCATGATGCTGACCGAAGCGGACCGGAGGGGAACCCGTTAGGGGGCGACGATGGTTGTTTGCGAGATCTGTAAAAGAAATTATTTTAGTTTACGGTTTGTGCTGCTATAGGCATGATGAACATGACTTTTAAATTTTGGCACTATATGGCGGTTATCACACTGCGCCGCGCTCCGCCGAGGAGCGCGGGGCGACAGATTTAATCATTGTATGCAAGTACCTCAGTTTGTATAGAAAGCACGCGCGGCACTTTACACTGACAAGCGACAACGCGTCCGCGCGCGTGATTTTTTATATGAAAATCACGCGCTCCGCGGCGGAGCGCGGCGCAGTGTGATAACCGCCTAATGTGACTGACGTCTGTAGTGATGTGACATACCCTTAGTTAATAAGACGGTATAGAAATAGGGTGACTATTTCCACAGTATATCAAGATTTACGGAATCAAAACAAATGTTTGGTTTTGTATCCCATCTGTAAGCTTAAAGAGATGCACTCTGAAATAACTTTTGGATGATGTTTTGAGCTCTCGGTGATCTCGTGAACGCGATATTGTATTCGTATGTAAATTTTTCCACATAAATGTTGAAAGATTTCATTGCGTTGTCTGTCTCTGACGTATTCAAGGTGTAATTTTTATCATCAAGTCGAAATCGTCACCACCATTATTAGATCATTTGGAAGAAAGACGACCCTCTCTTACTGGGAAAAAAGAAGCCATTTTTTTATACCATATAATTTTAAAACATACCTGAAGGTGTTCGGAGCTGGTACTCCAGGCGAGGCAACGGCGGCGGGCGGCGTTGCGACCGGCGGCGGCGTGAGCGGCGGCGTGGCAGTGGCCACCTTGTCCCGTTCCAGCCGTCCCGCTACGGTGAACAGGGACGCATCGCTCTGTGGGACGCGTTTGCGCCATCCCTGTGGAAGAAAATAAAACAATTGAAACTGGATCAAAGACGTATACCAAGTGGGGACGCTTGCTTCATAAGGGTGATAAGAAGTTTATGTTGTGATGAAATGGTCTCGGTAGAAATCAATGTAATAATAATAATAATAGGGTAATGGTACAGAGACGACGCTAGCTACTAGATGATTGTCGAATGACGGGATAAGAACAAAATTATATTGTTTTAAAAACTTGTCACATTGTACCCATATTTGAGCTGACAAATTGATACATATAGTGTAGACCTACGATTAAAAAGAGCAAAATAATTATGTAGTTGTTAAAAAAACTTATTAAACTGTCAAGTACATTACAATTTAATAACCTGTCAAGGTGTATAAACTCGCGTAACTTTTGAAATTGTTGACACCAAGTTGAAGTTGGTTACTCAAACTTATTGTTAGCGAATTGAAATTGCTAATTATTCCCGTTTTGTGGTCAAATGAATCACTTATCAAGCTGTTACTCATGCATTGTCCTTTGTCGAAATTCCCAAGTTAAATTTATTTATTTGTAAGTAATTGCTATGGTATATTTTATAGGCTTAGCCTTCCTTGCTTCCTATTTGATTTTGGTTCAAATAATTATCTAGCACAATACCAGCATGTTTTAGATTCTACCATAGAGCACGACACATGCTGAGAAGTCGCCATTCTGTAGATTCTGATGAATCAAATAAAATATTTTTCTTCCAAAGTTATTCTACTTTCCTACTTTCACACATATAGACATCCCACGTTCCAATTGTATACCCAAGCTAAGGTCCTAACAGTGCGCCAACTGTTTATATTGCATATAGTGCTCAAGCAGCACATCCTTGTCCCTTACAAAAACCCCTCTAAAAGTTCACCACGTAGGCGTCAACTGCCAGTGGACCGACGAACTCACAAGTTCTCAACATCTTTTTCGCAGAAGTTCTTTTGCTATCTTGGCGGATTCCTTTATAATAAAATCAAAAAAATTCTTACAATATACCCGCTAACGAAAGTGAAATGTAAAGTGTTAACTTCTGAATGGCTGAATACTCTAAATTATAATGAAACAGAAATGCTATTNTGCGCAAATCGGTCTACTTTGCACTAGTGCAGTCACTGATTACTTACTGCATCACTGCCTGGGGAGGCTCGCCCAAAACAAACCTCATTGATCTTGAGAGAACGCAACGAGCTATTCTCAAGGTCTCCTACTTTCACACATATAGACATCCCACGTTCCAATTGTATACCCAAGCTAAGGTCCTAACAGTGCGCCAACTGTTTATATTGCATATAGTGCTCAAGCAACATATCCTTGTCCCTTACAAAAACCCCTCTAAAAGTTCACCACGTAGGCGTCAACTGCCAGTGGACCGACGAACTCACAAGTTCTCAACATCTTTTTCGCAGAAGTTCTTTTGCTATCTTGGCGGATTCCTTTATAATAAAATCAATAAAATTCTTACAATATACCCGCTAACGAAAGTGAAATGTAAAGTGTTAACTTCTGAATGGCTAAATACTCTAAATTATAATGAAACAGAAATGCTATTAAATGTACCACTTTAGACGTATTTAAACAAGCGAGTTGAGTGTAACTGTTTCTGCTTTTGACACTGTAAAACTGATTGTTGCAATAACCTCTATCTATCCTTATACTTTGTTTTCTTTTTTCTATATTTATATAATACTAGCTTTCCGCCCGCGATTTCGCACGGGTGAAATTTCGTTTGTCACAGATCGTCATAAATTATAGCCTATGTGTTTTTCTGGATTATGAACAATAGTACTGTAAAGTTTCATCAAAATCCACTCAGTGGTTTTTGAGCTAATTCATTACAAACATACAAAAATAGTTACAAATCTTTCCTCTTTATAATATTAGTATAGATGTATTTTTTTTTTTTTTGGGAAGTTGGTTTGTGGAGGGGGCCTGATGACCTGAAATACAAGCTTCTTTTAGCTTAGTTTAGGCATCAGTCTCCCACAATAATCGAATTCTACTATAAGTCTAAATTGTATTAAAAATATTGTAATGATTGTTGTGGTGAGGAAATAAAGCATTTTTATTATTTTTTTATTATTATACATATTTCAAATGTGCCAAAATAATTCTTCCTTTTACCTACTACTTAATTAAAATTGAATGACATGATTGGCCTTGCAGCCAGAAGTTGACTTTAAGTATTTAGAACAGTTCATTTTCTACATTCATCTTACCAGGAACGACTTGTGTTGTTATGATATTTTTTTGTTCATATTTTTCCTTCGAGAATCAAATGTATTTTTCACCACGCCACCCACCACCGCGCCAATCAGATCACCTTGAGAAAAAATTTGTAAAACCTGTCATTTGAAATAGAAAGAAGAAAGAGAAAAGATAGAAAATTAATTTGATAGGTTATTTAATGTTTAGGATGTCCCCTCACGGAAGCCATCCCGCCGTGAAGGTGGAGGTAAAGGAAGAAGAGCAGGAGAAGCCTTCGCCGGACTTCACACCCTGCCCCTGCCGCTCGCAGCTGCGGATCAAAGGAGGTAAGTTTCTATTTCTTACCTTTTACCCCTACAGGAAATGCTTTGTACCCCAAGCAGAGAGAAAATTCGAACTCCTATGTTCTTCAGATCAGTCCTGGATCTGTCAATAGGCCGTATAGGCCGCGGCCTAGGGGCGGCAGATTTCAGATGACGCTTACTCGATTTCAGAAGATAAAAGTTAAATAAAGATCCAACCCCACCCTAGCCTACGGGCGGCAAAACTGTAAATCCGCCACTGCTTCAGATTTATTTCTTTGCGAGTCCAATGACAGTTTAACTTTCCCCCGGGATAAACTTGACCTTCACTGGTTGGGTTTTTATAGGCGGTTAAGCTGTAGATCCTAGCTACACAGGAGTTGCAGCGATAGGAACATGAGGTGGGAATAGTCCCGTAAGCAGAGAGAAACCACAAGGGATAATTATTATGAAGATTATCTCTGGATGATGAGACGAGAAATCAACTCATTTTGTATTTCTACCGATTAACTTTTCATTTTATACGCATCAATTTGTTGTAACGATATCAAAATCACGCAAACCCGCTTTTCATCTAAGCCAGTGGTTCTTAACCGGTGGTCCGCGGACCACCGGTGGTCCCTGAAGTCCACGAAGTGTACTTGCACACCTTGGTCAAAACCATTTTACAGGGCAGGTATGTACCATCCTAGACTGCATCTCACTTAACACCAGGTGCGATTGCGGTCAAATACCTGCCTTGGCTAGCATAAAAAAAAAAAAAAAAAAAATTTAACTGATTTTTGCAGTCAAACTGGTTTTGACCGATTGAGGTGGTCCCTGACAAGATAGAAATTTGGTAAAATGGTCCCTCATGACTTAAAGGTTAAGAACCACTGATCTAAGCATTGGTTCCCAAATTGGGGGACGCGCCCCCCAGGGGAGGCGCAAAGACCTTTAAAGGGGGGCGCGGCGGGCCATCTGTGTACTTAAGTATGAAAAACCTGCGACCGCTGAGAGAATGCATTCCAGACTGCTCGATACGACCAATAAATATAATCTTGACCGGAGGACTTTTGTAGGAATTTTGGAGGAATTTTGGAGGAATTTTATGTAAGTTAGGGAACACCTGAACCCCTGATCTAAAGTAATTCGGCCCCCTACTACGAGCAGCGACTACGGGCTACGAGCCGTAGTGCACTTTGTAGCATTACGCCACTGCTACGGGACTACTATCGTAGACGTAGATCTCGTAGCTAGCTTAAGTTGTGAATCTTATTTATTTATAAATGTACCTTTAATTAAATAATATCTCTGGTGACATTTTTATGCTCACAAAGAAATAGCTATTTCACATGTTAACTTTTTTTTACTATTATTCTTTAATCTAGGAATCGAACATAATATGTTATATTATTAAGATCTTATCTGACTACAATACTAGCAAGGCGTGTAGCAAGCAATCGTTTAGTTACGTTGAAATTTTAAATCATAAAATTTCATTGAGGCTTGTTGAGGTAGGAAACGCACTCGGAAAATGAAGGATAGCATTGAAGGAAAAGCATTGATCGTGAGTAACCCTGTTGTTGTAGCAAAAAACATGTTCATCTAATTTAGACAGCTCTTGCATGATCTTTTGATTGATGTAATGATGAGAACATTAAGAAGACTAACTATTTAGGCTACACCGCCTGCTTAGTTCACCATCTCAGAATATTTTTCAATTATTGATGACTCCTCCCACTGTTAATAGAACTGTTTGAGTTAGATGTAGGGAGCATTGCTCTACTAAAATTCTACTTAATGCTCTAAATAAGTTATTTATTTTACGAGTTTCCTCAAATGCGCGGCCATTTCCGGCGAACCCTGCACCTGTGCGTATAATCGCCTGAATAATTGAACTAAGGGTTGTAAGGCGCACCGAGCACTAACGACTTTGTGTTCGTAATTTTATTACGAACTACTTAGCGGCCGCCCGCGACTTCGTACGCGTGGATCCCGTTTTACCCCCTTAGGGGTGGAGTTTCGTAAAATCCTTTCTTAGCGGATGCCTAGGTACGTCATAACATCTACCTGCATGCCAAATTTCAGCCCGATCCGTCCAGTGGTTTGGGCTGTGCGTTGATTGATCACTACATATTATGTCACCTTTGAGTTATATAATTTAGATAAAAAAAAAACTATTACAATTTGTGCCTTTCTGCCAAAGAGGGGCTCAGCATTAATCGAGACAGCCGTGGGCATGTCTCACCTCTACACTGATTTTCAGTGGGACCCTTTGTTTAACCAAACGGAGAAAGTTACGTTAAAGGTGCTCCTTCACCGCGGCACCGGGAGTATGCACGTGTAACGTAATGTAACTTTGAGCATTACATTATACCACATTGTATTCAGTTTTCCCTCTCTGAAGTAATGCTCGAATTTGTAACTTTACATTACACGCGAATGCTTTTTTGTTCCCCAGTCGATGAAGCACCTGATGTCATGCCCTGAGTGCCCAAGCAACTACACTCAGGAGGATTTGATGAGTGCTACTGACAACGCCACTTTTGTGGCGGAGTTTTGGGCTGACACTGTGTAGGTTTGTTGTCGACACAAAAAGAAGAAGAATACGCCTTAAGGTCATAGCATACTATTATCAACTCGGAAATGGATCAACTCCGTATCGCCTTTCGCGAGCTGTCATCGCCTTTCGCGCGCGGTCAATTGCGAGGCGAGGTGTTTACGTTACGGTGCGGATAAGTGTGCGTTGCAGTACGGAGTTTCATACAAAGAATACTGACCGCCTCGAGTTGATACGGTTACGACCCCTTTCCGGGTTAACTCGATAAATGTACGGCGTCCTTTATTCGATATCGTTGGTCAGTACTAAGTATTCTGCGACGTCGTTCAGCGCGAGCCCGCCCTAACACCATGGGGTCGCGTGCGTCGCAGGCCTGGCGGCACCGCGCGCCGCCGCCGGACGCCGGACGCCGAGTCGCGGCGGCTTCATGTACGACGCGCGACGTTCTTTATTCGATATCGTTGGTCAGTACTAATTCTGCGACGTCGTTCAGCGCGCGCCCGCCCTAACACCATAGGGTCGCGTGCGTCGCAGGCCTGGCGGCACCGCGCGCCGCCGTCGGACGCCGGACGCCAAGTCGCGGCGGCGCCAGCCCCGGCGACGCCGGTGCCGCACCCTCGCGCCGCGAAATCGCGATGACGCATTCGCATACACACCAACACGCATTTATGTTTTTTTAACGCTGGTCGCTGCTTCTTTGGAAAACAATGCTTTGACAATAACTGCATAGAAAAGCTAGGTACTACTACACCTACTTCAATTTGCGTAAGTAGGCCAACAGACAAGAACTAGTATGTTAACGTGAATTACTTATTATGGAGGGGGAACTGGTGATTCCGCGATCATTTTATTTTTTATTTTGTTTTATTCAGAAAACAAACAGCTTACAAATATATACTTAAATTGCATAGATACAGTGTAGTTGGTCAAAGCCTATAGTTTTCACCTCTATCATAATAGTTACATAAAAGAAGTTTTATCCTTCTACGAGTATTATGTAGCAGTAAAAATATTACCTTAATTTCGTATTCAGGAGCCACCCAGCGTGCTCTCAAATTCTAGAAGTGACCGAAACCTTTTCAAAAAAGCTCCTCCCACGCCAGTCTAAAATAAAAAGACCAAGAACAAAATGTGTGGCAATGGGTAGCTTTCCGTTGGAGAACTGGAGACCAGCACTCAGTAGCGAACAACATTCTAAGGTGAGCCTGGAGCCGTGACGTGATTAGGTACAACACGCTGTGTATGTACCTATTGTATCATTTGATGGGCTTGCTGTGACTACCCTGGTGTCAATGTTATGAAGCCTCTAACTAAAGGTTCAGCCAAAACCAACGCGATCACACGCGATGAGCAGGCGTGCAGCGATGGCGATCAGACTTAAATGCATTGATCGCCATCGCTGCACGCCGGCTGATCGCGTGTGATCGCGTTGGTTTGGGTAAAGGAGTGTGTGTAACGACAGTGCAAGGCTTCTCGCGGTGCACCAAACGAGCAAACTCAAGCAGCCTCGCGAGCAACGGCGTAATGTCGATTACACGAATGATTTAACGTCACATCACCACAACACACAAATTAACACGCGATAATATCGGTTTCCACCTAAACGGAGAGGAGAGGAGATGTGTCTAACTAAATCAATCAGGTTTCGTTATTTCCACAGCATTTCGACTTTTTAGGGTTCCGTAGCCGATCTTCAGTTTCAGTTCAGAAATCTCTCGTCTCCGCTATGGTGGAAACCGGACTTTAGTGTGCCGTACATCAAGGATATGTATAAAAATTGTTAATTAAGCAGTTAAATTAACGATTTATGCAGATCTTCTCTTCTGTCTTGCGCCCGCGCACACCACTTAACGTTGAGAACCATCTTTCATTTATCCTTTTTGTCCGCTCGCTCGACGCCTTTTCAGCTTGTAGCTGTAGCCCCAAGTAGTAGCTTGGGGCTGCTTTTCACTTAGGAAGATAGCTGTTTTTGCCTAAATTTCTAAGTTAAGGTCCAAGATGTACTTGACTAATTAAGACAGGAGAACATACGGCATAGGTGTAATACCCAGGTAGACTTATGTTTTTCATTCAAGGTGATATCTTAAAACTTCCTAAACCTCATCGCGTCGGTAAAGTTCTTAGATCCTACACAGGCTTGTGTCGAACTGCACAATCTTATTGCATAAGATTAATACACCCTTTGTTTATGTAGCCACCCCTTTGGGTAGTTTAGTTAAGTAACCCTACCACGCATGTATACGAGGGTCATAAAATAAAAGAACTTGATTCAAATTATTAAATAAACCATGTTATTAATACCTACTACGCACTCTTTATTACGCGGGTAAGTTTTAAAAAAAGCAATATTTTTTTGGGAACCGGAAATTTGAATGAACGTTAAAACACGTGACAGAGCACGTGACACAATTATAGACTGAAATCAATTGATATACTTATACAAGTATTTAATTTGAGTTATTGTTAATTTTATCATTCATAA